GTTTCTTAGTTTAACGTTTGTCTGGTTCCTTTTCACTACGTTTTTTTTTAATTTTGACCCTTTTAAGTGCACAAAGGAATATCACGCTCAATACAAGCTGATACGGTCAGCAGTGAAAGACCACGTCTCAGATCCATAAGGTTTACGTGGTAGAGCCATGCTGCAGCTATATTGTGGTTGCAGCACGACAGGGTCGGCTACCGACCGGGGTAGGACCACGCTCTCGTAGAATACCAGCTTAATGCTACTGTATTTCGTATGGTGAGTGTAGAGAACAGGAGACCCTTTTAACTGCCTAACTAACCTAAATTGTTTGAATCCTTGATATGTCCAATTATTACGCGTCACTTTAGCACATGTATATCAGACCATCAACATGGGTTTAGGAAGGGTCATTCGATTGAAACTAACCTTGTATCATTTATGTCGTATCTCTGTAAAGAAATTGACAAAGGACAGGAAGTTGATGCTATATATATGGATTTTTCCAGTGCATTCGATAAAGTCTGTCACTCGCGCTTAATTAACAAGCTAAAAGGATATGGGGTATGTGGATCTTTGCTAGAATGGTTTTTTTTTTTTTTTTTATAGGATAGGGTGACAAACGAGCACACGGTCCACCTGATGGTAAGTGGCCGCTGTGGCCCATAGACATCTACATCTGTCCTCGATTACGAATCAAAATGCAGATGCGCCGTCACCCGTGAGGATCAAGATGGAATGCCTCGTTTCCAGTAAAAAGGGTCTCCGGTTCTCTGCACTCACCATACGAAACACAGCAACATTAAGCTACTATTTCACGCTGGCATTCCGTGAGATAGTGGTCCCTCCCCGGTCGAGCCGACCCATACGTGCTACAACTATACTACTAATATAACTGCAGCATGGCTCTACCACGTAAAAAATGGTTCCAGTCTTATTTAGCAAAAAGACTTCAGTTTGTGGTAGTGAATGGTTACAAATCAGAAAGTTATATAGCGTTCTCAGGCGTTCCGCAAGGATCGCATCTGGGTCCAGTCCTTTTTGCTGCCTTTATCAATGATATAACCTTTGAAATACGCAACTCTGAATTCTGTCTCTTTGCTGACGATTTAAAAATATACAAAACAGTAAAATCTATTGTAGACGTGCAACTCATCCAAAGTGATTTAAACAGAATTAGTACATGGTGTCAATTAAATGGTATGATACTTAATACTAAAAAATCATATCACATTAAATTCTCAAGAAAGTCTATACCTTTCATGTCCTCCTATAAGATGAACTCTGATACCTTGGAGCAGGTTAAAGAAGTTCGAGATTTAGGCGTAATAGTGGATAGCAAATTAAATTTTAAGTCTCACATTGACGCTACCATCCAAAAAGCTGGAAGAATGCTTGGCTTCCTAAAACGAAACGCTAAAGGTTTTATGTCAGCCAAAACCAAAATAATTTTATATAACGCCTTGGTTCGAAGTCACCTAGAGTTTGCATCGGTGGTTTGGGGTCGTCAGTTTATCACTTATTCCCAACGCATTGAAAGCATACAGCGTTCATTTACTAGACATCTTGCGTTCCATTCTTCGGACATTTCCCACCGTAACACCTATAACGTTCATCTCAAACATTTCGCAATGATGTCACTTTGTGACCGTCGTGTATTGTTAAATATATTGTTTTTAAAAAAAATAATTTCTGGTGCCGTAGATTGTAATAACCTACTTCAGTGCATTAATCTTAACATCCCATGCAACTATCCACGCCATCCTATTACTAAAATCTTTTACATCCCTGCCAGTAGACCGAACCTCTTAAAAAATTCGCCTATATCAAAAATTTGCGCCGAATACAACCGGGTATGTGTATTTGTTGACATTGACATTTTTCATGACTCATGCATTAGTTTGAGAAAGAAGTTATCTGTGTACCTGCTCTCTAAGTAGGTTCTTAAAATTTCTTAAAATTTTGTAAAATTATTTTGATATTCTGTGTACTATTTTTGTGCTTTTTTTTTTGTTTTCTAATATTCGTATTTATAATAACATGTCTTAGATTTTAAGAGAATGTTGTACACGTCTTTATTGGCGTACATACCAGGCCTTTGTTTTATGTAAGATTTGCATATAAATGTATTGTGTGTTATGCTGTTGATGTGTCATAATAAATAAATAAATAAATAAATAAAAACTGCAAACGAGGCATTCCATCTCAGTCCCCAGGGCTGGCAACGCATCTGCATTTTGATTCGTAATTGAAGATAAATGAGGATGTCTATGGGACACAGCATCCACTTACTATCAGGTGGAATGTGTGCTCGTTAGTCACCCTTATTCTATAAAAAATCTTCATTAGCGATTTGCACTGGTTGTAAAATCTTGTTTTTAGGTTTTGATGAATACCTGACGAGAAGATGTGTCGTGATATCCCGAAAGTTGCCCAGCCGAGTTGAATCCTTCGATTGTCATATATTCGTAAGCCTTATAAAAGATAAATATGATTATAACCAATTCACAAAATGCATACGAAAATACAATCAAATTAAAATTCTTCTTCCTTTTCGAATTCAGTTAAAAATATTTAACAAAAGGTAAGTAAATAAAACAAGCCACTCATACAATATGATTATAATTTATTCATTAATAGTTTACAAAGACATTATCGTACAAACATTAAATTTTAGGATCAGCACATAATTTGCAGTACAAATACTTAATAAACGTTATTTGTTCATTATTGTAAAAAAACTTCTCCGAGGCCTAGACCTCGCTTATACTTAACTAGCTTATACGTTCAGTTCGAGCCAGACTCGTGCGTGCGTACGGAGCGGCAGTTCGCACTCCGCTCGGAGTTACTATTAAACGTAAGAGTAGTCGTTACATAACTATGACATAAATAATATGGACATACACTTTATGTTGATACGGTCTTGTTAAAATTTTGTACATCTCAAATTTGATATGTTGAACATCATAGCTAGAGGTTATTTAGCTAGAGACTCTTAGCGAACTCATTTTAAAATCTTTATTATAATGGCTTTTAAAGTTAAAGTATCGACTGATTCTATTAACAATGTCCATATTTCTTATATCAATTACAAATGAATATTTTAGACTTTAGCAATAAATTTCGGTTGTTTATTTCCACTTTATAGTAAGTACAAGGCCCAGTATTTTTTTTAAATAAATAAATAAGTCAGTGCAATTCCGAGTCAGAGCGGGATCTGCCCTCAAACCAGCTTAAGTCGATGAATAATATTAAAATTTTCATTCGCTTTTTATTCAGATGTCGGTTGAAAGTTCTACACACGGCTGGTATTGCTAAAACCCCATTTTACTTTGGATCGCAAACTTTACTTCAGTTACAAAAAAAAAATTTCCCAAAAAGTTAATTGTAAAATTTACATCAAATTTACAAAGGATATTATTCAAAATTCGATTTATTTTTTGTTTTCTTAGACGACATAGTTGACGGATTCATGTGTTTGTTAGATTTGTTGGTATCAGTCTCACGGTGTTTTCACTAACCCACAATTATATCGACGATGCTACGTCTGGTTGTTTTTGTCAAATTTAATCAACGCATCCGTTGCACGTCGATACGGAATAAATAATACGAGCAATAGATAGTTTCCTCGTTAATATAATATATTAAAAAAAATCAATCATAAGAAGCATTCGTGTCGGCAGATCTACCAATATTAAGAAAATAATCTACGATTACTATAATAATTACGAGAAGCGATATTTTTATATGATCACATTCGCGCACTTGTCGCGATACACACCTTAACCGTACTAAATGCAAAATCGAACGTGCCTTCCATTGACTCCTTCAAAAAATCTTTATTTTTTTACATGAAATGTGTAATAATCAATGCTTTCGTACATTGACTGACATTTCCTTTTTGACTTTAAAAAAACCATTTGCAGCGGATTCTTCGCAGAATCAGCCGTTTGGGTCGTTCGTTCCGCCATCTTGTCGACGCGACATGAAATGGCGGTTGTGAATGCCGTCAATCGGAAGCACGCTCGTCCTTCCTCATTCACATCATTCAATAGGAAATATGTTATAATTAAGTTCCACGCCCGATGTATTTTAAAAATAATTTATTGTTTAAGCAATAATTGCAATGGAAGAATATTGGGTAAGTTTGAGAAAGTTTAGCTGTTTCGTGTCACTAATTATTATACGTATTCCTGGAGTAATATATTAAAATTATTGGAAGTCAATTTTTAAATTTTCTAAGGATACTTTTAATGGCTGAAATTGCAACGAAAGAAAATCGGCGCGGAAATAAGGCTTATGTGGCCTTTGTTGTGCTATTTTCAAACGGAAAAGTACCCGTTAAAGAACCCCGTAAAAGTATCGTTGAGACAGTTTAAATATACAGTTAAATATATATTATAAATGAGTTATTTCGACGGTTGCTTTTTAATCAGTACCCGTGGTTGTAATAATAATAATACCGGATTTTAGATACGGTTTTGATTGATACTTTTAAAATAGTACATGTCGGAAAATAATATCGCATACATGAAATAAATATTTTCTTAATTTAAGATAAATAAAGAGACATGCGTGCGGTTTACACGCAGTACAAGTGAAACTTTCAGAGAATTTAAACTTCGAGAAAATGAGACAAATGAAGTATGAGGAGTGGGATTACGTAACGAGTAGGGTTGGTGTAATTAAAATATAAATAAATTTGTAATAAAAATTGTATACTCTATTTTATCTCATTCTCTCGCAGGCTAAATCTTAAACACGTATGTAAATATAAATCACAACGATTTTAAAGAAGTTTCCACTTCGAAAATTATACTTCATTTTAAATCTATAACCACATAAATATTTTCCGATGATATGAAATGCATGTTATTGAATTGGATTCATAATTGGTGATAAACAAAACCGTTTCAAATAAAGTAAGCAGTAACTGTTTGTGGAGCGGAGGAGCACTGCGGGTGTAAGGGTAGAGGCGTGTGTGTGTGTGGCGGGGGGAGGGGGAATGGTTGGTGCAGTTAGTACTCCCAGAGCGTGGCGGAGGCGAGGTCGGGCGCGGCGAGGCGGAAGGCGCCGTTCTTGTGCGCAGCGAGGTAGGCGCCGGAGCGCGCCTCGCGTACGGCCAGGCGCGTGGGTTCACGCAGCTCCAGGTGGAAGCCCTGCGGCTGCTCCGCGTCGCACGACACGCCCTCGCCGTCCGCGTGCCAGTACAACCCGTTCTGACCTGCGCACACACCGACTTCTGTCACACTACTATCATATCCCAATACCACAACCTTTACTTAGATACATCAACAGATACAAACATACAAAACTTACAACCTATATACATCCTACTGCTCGGCACAGGCATGCGTGTTGGCGAACAGCACAAGTCTTCGAAATATATTTTCCTTATTTCTTAGACATGCAGATTTCCTCACTATGTTTACCTTCACCGCCGGGCACGTGGTGGATTAGTACATTTGCAATTAACAATTTCATTGGTGCCGACGAGGATAAACCGGGGTTGCTCGCGTACTGTGAAATTTACAGCGAGCACTTAACCCCCGAGCTACACCGCTCACACTATAAGACTAGATAAAACGCTAGTAACGGACATATTTAACGCTCATTTTTCTTTAATATATGAAAGAGATCCTAACGACAATAACACAACTAAAAATCACACTAGGCTTTTTATGCTATTGAAAAAATTCGATTTAGACCAGATGATATCAAGGTAAAAAAAGCTAGATGATACAAAGAGAGTCGACCTAAATAATATACTTACACTACTTTTATTAAAACTGTGCAGATGCATTGATTTTTCTATTAACTTTATTATACAATCGATATCTCAAAGCATATTCCCTGTAATTGTAAACTAGTAATGGTAATCCCTATATTTTAAGAATGGAGCAAAATACTTGGTAGTAAACTACCATCCAATATCTATCTTGTCAGTAGTATCAAAAATATTGAGTCATTAGTTCACTCTGTAATTTATCGGCATATTCAAAAATACATAACCAAAAATCAGCATGGTTTTATTTCAAGAACTAAAAGAAAAAATAAATCAAGGCGACTTGTAAAGTTGACGCATTCTGTAGATTTTTCGAAGGCCTTTGACAAAGTTAACCACAACATGCTGATTCATAAAATGAACTAATTTGGAATCACAAATAACCTACTGGAATGGTGTTACAGTTCTTTTATTTAGTATTTTTAAATCGCTTTCCTAGGGTGATACTTGATGGCGAACAATATGAACTATTTGAAGCATTCTCAGGAGTACCAACAGACTAGATTTTAGGACTTTTATTTTAAACATCTTCTCATAACACGTGTGACTAACCACAGCAATGTATATCTTTTTGCTGACGACCTTAAATATATAAAAACGGTATCAACGGCTTCAGATGCCCTACATTTCTAGGAAGACATTAATGATCTTCATAAATGGTGTAATAATAACAAATTGTTCCTAAATGCTATGAAATGCTATTTAATTGAGTATAGCAAAAAACGTAACAAATTTCAATAGATATACACAAAAGCAAGCATCTAGTTGGAGGAAGTGACTACTATTCGACTATTCGAGATCTTGGTATCATAATGAATGGTTATTTGAAATTTTCGGACCATACTAACAAGATAAAGGGAAAAGCAAGTTAGGCTTTATCTCAAAAAAAAAACTCAAAAGAATTAAAAAAAACAGCAACTGTGTTGTAAGGAGCAAGCTCGCGTATTGCAGCTAGGGCTTGCAGTATTCTTTCAATTTTACTATTCGAATATTTCAAGTAGTTCCCGACACACTATTCGAATTATTCGAATATTACGAATTTTTCGAATACTTTCTCTTTAATGTGTGTCTGTTAACTTATATTAATAGTGTGTCTTTTAAGCACATAATTCGTGGATGTTTTATAGCACACAGACATTTAGGTAGAGATGCAAAAGAAAATAAGACGAACAACATTTTTTAAAATACTTAGATTTACTAGATAGACTTTAGTAACAAAAATAATTACAAAAAATCCAAAAGCGCACGCCTCATAATATCATTTGAAATAGAAAAATATCTCTTTTTCTATATTTGAGACAAAAGAAGAGATCCATGACAATATTTTTTGTAGATAACAGTTGTTTTTTACATTTTCATTAATTACAACTAAACGAGACTAAATTACAGTGATTTTTAAAAGGAACCTGAGCGTTGAGATTTTAAACCTAATAAAATTATTTTGATACATTAATTCTAACGACCGTAATCGTGCGCCATCCACACATACAGACATTCGGACACCCTCGAATTTTTTCAATCTGTTTTTTCTACACTAAATACAGAAAATTACTTTTAAAAATAATAGAAACATGAAAACGAGTGATTTTTCTCGATACTATTGTATTTTTATTATTCTAAAAGTGCAATAGTTAAAAAAGGAAAGACATTTTTAGTTCAGAAAATTACTGGATTTCCATTAGGTAAGAGTAGAGCACAACCTCAACGCTTCGCTTATGAGGCGTGCAATATGCTTCTCTTAAATGTTAAATTCAAGAGAAGAAGAATTTAATCAACTTCTGCAATTTTTTCTTCTTTGATATAAATTAAATGAAATAAATTCTTGCATTATTATTCATACACAAAATTAACATTTTAAAATTACTATAAAATCTATTTCTATTAGCGAACCAAAAATTTTGTCTTTTCAAAATTAAGAAATAAAAAATCTGACTTCAATATCCTATGTACTTTTGAATAAAAGGTGAGCAATATTTAACAATAGAATAGTAAAGTTTATCAAAAAGTTATTAATCAATACTTGATAATATGACCTAAGAAATGAAAGTCAGTCTAGAGTGCCATCACTCATCATTTAAGGCGCTACGAAGTTAGCTGCATGTCATTCTACAAGACGAAAACACTTTTTCAGATTCTACACTTGTTGAAGGAATTGCTAACAAAAAATTACATGCCCTCATTGAGGTGAAAGCGCCAGGGTAGCCCGCGAAATTAAAATTTTCTTACGTCCTTTGTTATTAGCAGGTCAGTGTGAGATTGTATGTTTTAGTAAATATGATTCGCGACCGTACCAAGTACGTGTTCACAGAATTATTATCATTAAAATCACCAGAAAGAGGAGAGGGTTGTAAAGGGTTGTATCTCTAAGTTCATAATATAACTCCTATGAATGAGATTTTCTGGAAATAGTCATACAATTGAATTATACGAACTAAGAGGGTTGTATTGATGATTATAATGATTATAATTCACTTGTTACGGTCGCGATCATTTTTATTTCAACACACAGCCTGACACCGACCCGTAAATTGCAAAAAACGTAAGAAAATTTGAATTTTACGGACTACCTTTGCGCTTACACCTTAAATGAACATTATTTAAAAGCTGTTGCGAAGAGTTACTGTGCTGCCAATAGTGATGATTAAACATATCTTTATTTTTTAAATTCCGACCATGTTTTAAAATATTTTTATTATTAAATTCTATTTATCTTTATATTATTTGTAGTATTCTAAAATTTCGAAATATTCGAATAGTATTACTCTGCATATTATTCGAATAGTATTACTCTACATATTATTCGAATAGTATATGAGGTTAATATTCGAATAAAACGAATATTCGAATACAGAGCCCTAATTGCAGCACAGTATAGTATCCTATTAAATGCGGTGCTGTTATTTACAGTGTGCAGTACTGTTATTATCAGTATAACCACAGAAATCGTAATAAGACAATAGATGTCGCATAGACGCGTTAACTTGTCGCCGCTATGATGTGTTGACGAACATCATTCACCATTTTGCGATTTAGTTGCGCTGGGAACGTCGTGCGTGAATTTATGTTATTATAAATTTATAATGGTGAACTGCAGCATAATCAGTTGTAAAAACTCATCAAGGACGTGTAATTTAACTAATAAAGGCATAACATTTCATCGGTAAGTTGATTATTTACTAATCATCGTTGTTTTAACTAATTTACATCTAGATGATTACTTTAGTTTGACATTTACCTTTGCACTCATTTATTACTTTTCGTATTGTACAATTACCATTGCTGCTTTTGTTCTACAGTAATACTCGATGCATGCGACGTTGACAAACTCGCCAAGCAATGTAATGTGAAACATTACATATCATTGTGCATTGCGTATGTGTATAATACGGTAAGATGTGGCGACATCGGTTTTGGAAGTAATCGAGCGCTAATTCATTTCTATTATCTTATAGAAATGAACATTTTACAACCCATTCTGACCTGCGCCAATTCATATACTCTTTGACTTGAAACGTCTTTATAATCACACAAAAACATACGGGCCAACATCAAACTAAAAAGGCTACAGATGTATTTAACATCTGAGGAACAACATTAAATTCCTCCCAGCTGTATAAAAAGTATAAATAAACCATAAAGTGACTATATAAAGTGAATATCCACTACCCTGTATCGTTCAGTGAGTGTCGTAGAAGGTGATAGAGGTAAACAAACCGGTAACATCTATCTGATAGCTGAATACGAAAACTGCGGTTGTCGATCTGCTATGACAAATATACCCTTATAAGGCAATCTTTGGGGGAAGGGGCTATAGTCAGCAGTGAACTATTGATATACTACATATATATATACTGTAAAGATAAGGGTAATGGTTATAAAACTGACGTCCTCCGAAGGTATGCAGGTGGTATACCATGGCTGATTTTTAAATAGTGTACCCCGTACTGTTTTTTTCTTCTTTACATTTCATAATTCATTAACAGCAGAATTAACTTACCCTTGAAGTAAACTTCGCCCTTGGGACCACGGATGACCTGGATGGTCTCGTAGTTGGCCTTATTGCACTCGAGCTTCACGCCCTTTGATCCGACGAAGCCCTGTTCACATTTCAACACCAGGATCGGCCTGAAATTTGAACACATCTGTTAAATCATTTGCTATTTTAAAATTATACTGTTGTAATGTCTTTATTTTTAACTTAGTCTTTTTAACACGCGAAGCTTTATTAGCTGTCTATTTATGTAACGGAATCTCAAAATTTCTCAGTAGCAGCCTGGATTCAGGAAGACGGCGTTGTTTCACCTTCATGACTGAGTAAGCAAGTAAAGACGTTGGTCCTTCGCGAGATCATTCTCCGGTCGTGTCAGATTACCGTTCCATCGGACTGTGAGAGGGAATAGAGTGCACCTGTGCACACAATTATATCCTGCGAAGGTTGCTAGCCACCGTTGTGACAGGCTCAAATTCGGTCCAGAGGGCATTATAATAAATGGTAGGTATACCTGTTGATGAGATAGAAGTAGTATTTGCAGTTGTCGTCGACGGTGTCCGCGTTCGCGTATAGGTGTCCGGAGCGCTTGGTGGTGATGTACTTGCCGTTGTTGGCGCGGAACGCGACCGCGCCCGAGCCCTGCCACTCCAGCTCGAACAGAGCGTTGGAAGACCTGGACACACAAATATTTATTTTAAATACTTTATTATATTATAAATGATTACACGGTCTCAGATCCACAAAGAAAGAAAGACAGAGCGCTGGCTACATTTCAAGAGATATGATGATTCAAAAAAAAAACATGCTCAAATTCTTGATATGCAATCACCCACAAATATTTGTTCTTTCTTTCTTTATTAACCACTTACCATCAGGTGGACTGTGTGCTAGTTTGTCACCCTATCCTATATAAAAAAGGTGACGCAAAAACCAAGTCCGTTGTTCAGTCCTTTCCGTCCGCAGAACGAGGTGATTGCGTCTAAGTTATTTCTTAAACGAGTAACGTAAATTACTGTAACGTAAGTACAGTCTATTTCATATTGTATAATGTTACTATGGAAAAATCTCGCTGGGTTTCCTGATGGTTCTTCTCAGGGCACAGATATTTTCCCAAACCAATCGTAATAGTTAAAATAAGAAATATATTCATAGGATCACACAATCCTTGGTAGGTGCATGCTGTGGCTTCTAGACACCTACAGTTCTCCTTTTTAAGAATCAAATCTGAGCTTAGGAATGCCTCGTTTCTAATAAAAAGAGTCTCCGGTCTTCTACACTCGTACTCATATACGAAACGCAGCATTAAGCTGCTGTTTAGCGATGGTATATTGTGAGAGCGTGGTCCTAACCAGCTCGAGTCGACATACCCGTGCTGCAGCGTGGCTCTTGCACGTAAAATAATGTTTTAACTTTTTGCCAAGCGTGACAACTATGCAGAATATCCCCCCCCCCATGACGCAATCTAAGGGGAGCCCTATGTTCAGCAGTGGTATTTAATAGGTCGTAACGGTAACAGTACTAAATAGAGGAGAGTGTCGGTACAGGGGACTCACTTGTTGTCCCCGCTAGCCTGAATGCCGCCGCCAACCTCGAGGGTCCAGTAGCGGTCCTGCATGGTGCGGATGTACCAACGCCGCGTGCCCCAGTCGAACTCCAGCTGGAATGTCTCGTGGGACGAGATCTCGTCCTGGTTAGCCGTCACGTCCACACCTGGTAACAAAGCAAATATTACCGGTTAAATGTATTCAGATATAAAACAAGCAACTGCTTGAATTGGAACTATAATAGTGGGAAAGGTGTTTTTTTTTTATAAAATAAGGATGACAAACGAGCATATAGTACACACCTGATGGGACCTCGATTAGGAATCAAAATGCAGATGCGCTGCTACCCTTAAGGACTAAGACGGAATGCCTCGTTTTCAGTAAAAAGGGTATCCAGATCATTACACTCACCATACGAAACACAGCAGCATTAAGCTGCTATTTACGCTGGTATTCTGTGAGAGCGTGGTCCTTCCCCGGTCGAGCCGACTCATTTGTGCTACAACCATAACATAGCTGTAGCACGGTTCTAACACATTACTACGCGCCTCAATGCGAGTGTAAATAGGCTTTTGTTAAGTCCGTGCGCTTTGACGTTTCCGGTTACATCACCATTTATCATTACTTAGGTCTTGCACTGACCAACTTATTAATATTATAAAAAATAAACTTTTTTATCTTAAAGAACTAAAAGGAACGGAATAATTTCCACATAACAGCTTTTTAATTCGGCGCTAAGACATACGTACGTAAGTGAAATTTTTTCAATGTTTTCAGATTTTTAAATTGGTTTTCAGTTTTTATTACAAATTTAATTGTTTAAACCTTTTGAGTGGAGTCAGGAGTATCACAAACTCAAGTTATCAACTTCGTCGTCGTCTAAACAGTTACACTAAAATCTTTATCACCAATTTTCCTCTCTTAGGGGCGGAACTTTTTCTTCTTTATATGGGAAAACCCCTAAATACCTTTTTATTGATTTACAATTGTTTAAAAAAAGAATTATTAAAATCAGTTAACAATTGACGAAGATATCGCGAAACATTTAATGTACTGTTACTGAAACAGAAAAACGGCGCGCAGATTTTGATTTTAATAAACCCAATACTGTAAATTATATGAGAAAATCTAACATAAATTCAAAGTATGCGCGTGCAGATTTACATTATACGATCTCTATCCAAATATTCGTTCTTCTAAATTGTATTTTTACGTTTAAAGGTCCTTAACCTTAAAATGTACAGAAGTTATTTCTTTTAAAAATGCAATTTATTACCCTAACTTCCAAATGAAAAGTCAAAAACACTATAAATACTATGTGCAGTGGACCGTTTAGGAGTAGTCTTTTATCATCTGCTATATCGTGTAAGAACAAAACTTCATAATAACAAGTGCTATTTAATTACAAAATTATACAATAATATGTAAGTTGTAAGCTGAGGCAGTTGAATATATAAGGTAATTTATCAAGCATGACGACACGGGGCAGCCGTTCCGGAACAAATGCATTCATAAACGCTTTGGATATTCGTCGAGATGTGGCCAAGACCCTCACTAATTAACTTACGGTAAGCCTGTTTTATTATAATTAGATAATAAATTAAAGCTTTGTGGATTAACTAGAGACGATGGCAAGAGACCCGACGGTATAATTTTGGTCACTTGGGAGAAAGATAAAGCCGTAGTGTGCTATTTGCGTAAACACTTTTTCAGTGTTTGATCTCAACGGTTTCAAGTTTCATCTCGTCGGGGCGGTATTAGAGGCAGATGAACTAAGTAAGATGCGCAAATATTACGTAGTAAAGCCATGCTGCAGCTGTAGTACTGGTATAGTTGTAGCATAGGTCGGCTCGACCAAGGTAAGCCCACTCAGTCTCCCACAGAAACTCCCACACTCCCACAGAATACCAGAGTAAGCTAACAGCTTTAAAAGCTGGTTTTTATACCCTTCACACCGGCCCACGGCAGTAAATATTTAGCGGAGAAAAATGCGAGCTGTAGCAACCCAGAAGTACTACGATCCTTGTTACAGAATGAGTTCTTTTACCTCGATTATAACGTGGTAGAGCCCTGGTGCAGCTATATTATGGTTGTAGCACGAATGGGTCGGCTCGACCGCGGAAGGATTACGCTATCACAAAATACCAGCGTAAAATAGCAGTTTAATACTGCTGAGTTTAATACTATGGTGAGTGTAGAGATCCGGAGACCCTTTTTTACTGTAAATGAGATATTTTGATTCTAAATCGAGGATAAATGTAGATGTCTATGGGCCACAGCATCCACTTACTATCGGGTAGACTGTGTGTTTAATTTAATTTTTTTTAATAATAATTAGGTTTTATTATAATTGTCAAGATTAACACGGTAGCATTAGCTGCTAGTTTTCGCTGGTTTCTTTGAACCCAAAAAAACCCACCCAACACGCATTGTTCACAACAAAAGCGTCTGTGCAGAAATGGTAGTTTTTTTTAAAGAATTTAGGTGACAAACGAGCACACACTCCACCTGACGATAAGTGGATGCTGTGGCCCAAAGATATCTATATATTAAGAAGCAAAATGCAGATGTGTTGTTACTCCTGAAGACTAAGATTAAATACCAAATTCACAGTAAAAATGATCTCCAGTTCTCTATTCTCACTATTACCATACGAAACACAGTAAGTAGCATTACGCTAATTCTACTTACCACGTAAAAAGGTGCTGAGAAATTTAAAAAAAACCGTGAATATATCAATACTGAGTATCAGTCATCCATCGGCAGATTAATCGAATCGGCATTATTTTCTCGAGATGCGGACGCAACGTATCGCGAGTCGCGGCGCAGGTATCCGTGATAGAAACGCGGGAAAGCACGCCGAGCCAATAATGGCGGTGTTTTTTACATCGAATATCTTAGCAGCCAGTGTGCACCTACCATCAGAAAAGTACATTCCGGTTTTGATTAGAATGATACGGCTGTTACAATCACTTTACTATTCGGGTTTGGTTTTATCATCACTCTTTCCTAAATAGAGTTGTTTACCTACTTAAATATAAGCTAAATACCACTGATTAATTCATCATGAGATCTCCAAAACTATATGCCCGATAGACTTGTGATTTATATTTATAGACACACACTAATAAAGGATTTTGGAAAATTCAACCCCTGAGTGAGTGAAACAGGGTGTTTGTTACAGCTTGTTTTTTAATATAATTAATCGTTTTTATTTTATCGCCATTTTGATATCTTTAAGCTAAGTGCCAAAAATCTTAGAATAAACACAAGCAAGCTAGCTTGCCTGCTTAGTTTTTTTTCTAGAATAAGGATGACGATCCAGCACGCAGCTCACCTGATGGAAAGTGAATACTGTGGCCTATAGACATCTACATCTATCCTCGATTCAGAATCAAAATGCGGATACGTTGTCACCTCTGAGGACTAAGATAATGCCCTGTATCCAGTAAGAAGGATCTTCGATTCTCTACACTCACCAAACGAAACACTGCAGCATTGGGCTGCTATTTTACGCCGGTGCTACTCCCCGCTCGAGCCGACCCATTCGTGCTACAACCGTAATATAGCTGCAACACGCCTCTACTACTATATTCTAAGGCTAAAATTCTGTTAGCTTGATACACTAATTAAATCATGTAAGAGTTTGTTTATGACTAGATGTTGCCCGCGGCTTCGATCGCTTGGAGATCGGAAAATGACATCATCAAAAAATAGATAAAATATATTTGTTGCTATAACCCAAAATCTGTTATCATTTCAAGAAGTTTCTGTTTACGATTTCTTTCGCGTGGAATTTAAATTGCTTATGACACGACACTTATGACACGACGTAAGAACATACAATACATTAACTATAGAATGTTAATCTTTTCAATTCTTTCACTTTTAGGAATATCTTCTATCTAGGATTTTTGGATTATGCATTTTAATTTAATTAATGTAAAATACAACTAATATTTTCAGTAAAACAAAAAAAAAAGTAATAAAATTAATTTAAATAATTGAACTTACTCTACATGAAATCTAACAAATATTTCACATCATTCCAAAATGATGCCGCCCTGGGGTCAGAAAAGGTTTTAGATGCCCTCATTTCATCATAATAACACATTTTAAAAGTCCTTAGTGGGCAAAGTCCTACCCAATATGCACCAACAAGCAATCATTAATCATTATCAAGAACTAGTAAAGGTAACATAAAATAGAACTAATATTTCAATAAAACCAAATAAAGTAACTTTTTACATTTTCCTAATAATTTAACTTCCTCTCCATGAAATCTGACAAACATATATGTATATGTTATATATATATATATATATTCTAACTATATATATATATATTGGGGCACCTTCTTATGACCCGCTATAATTTGATCAAATCTAGCACTAATTGAACAATAGCTCACGAACCACTTAAAAGAGTAGCTCACGAACCAAATAATACATAATTTTTTTCTCTACTTCCATAAATTAAAAATTATACGCGAGCTATCGAGTGATAAAAAGACACTAATTAAAATGGAATATAAAAACTCTTTTCCTTTTGTTACTTTAATTTAACTAAAAACATTACTGTGCTGTGTGCGGATGGCGTAAACAATATGATGGATTTCATATCTTGAGTGTCGTAAGAGACGACTGTGGGAACTACCCGAAGAATTTTTTTTTATAACATTGGGTGACAAACGAGCACACAGTCCACCTGATGGTAAATGGATGCTGTGGCCCATAGACATCCACATTTATCTTCAATTTAAGAATCAAAATGCAAATGCGTTGTCACCCGTGAACACTAAGATGGAATGCCTCGATTCTAGTAAAAAGGGTCTTCGGTACTCTACACTCACCATACGAAACACAGCAGCATTACGCTGCTATTTTACGCTGGTGTTCTGTGAGAGCGTGGTCCTGCCCCGGTCGAGAGGGCTCATTTGTGCTACAGCTGTAATATAGCTGCAGCGTGGCTCTACTACGTAAAAAAATCTCGGATCCATCGGATGACTTAAATTCTAAGTCATTCGATAGACGGCAGAGCCAATGTTCATAGTAGTTGCTTTACGGACCGAAAAAGAAAACAAGAAAAACTTCAGTTCATTAATAACATGAGATTCGCAAACCTATATTTTAAATACCTATATTTTAAAACGGTTTTCATGATTGC